CGGAACTATGTGCATCATGACTTGAGCCCTGTTATGCATATATTCTTATGGGTCTCAGGGCTCATGTCTTAATGCACATAGTTCTGTTTGGTAGAAATACGTCCAATTGAGGCACTGGGTGCGAAAAGGGCACTTCTCGATTGCAGTTTTTCAGAATCTCTATTGCTAATTAATCCCATGGAGAAGAATTTAATGGATAATTTTGCCAGAATTCTTTCCACGGAAAATGAACTGTAGAATCATAAGGAATATTCAGTAAAATTTGTACTTGTAATCAAAAGAATGTATTCACTGTCCTCACAATGAATGAAATTTTAGAGGAGATTCTGAAACACTGCAACCGAGTGCCCTTTTCGCATTCAGTGTCTCAATTACAACAACAAAAAATTAAAATTAAAAAAAAATGAAATTGTGTCCACCCCCAACAAACACGCCCCATTTCCAATTTTCCACGATAAAATTTGGCTCCTTTTTGCGGTCCCCCGCTCACATACGATTGTGGGAAGGGCTACCGAGGGGAAGGGGGGGTTACTATGATAGTGAGGAGTAAAGGTCCGAGGGCCAAGGTTGGGGGTCAGCTCTCGGGTCGCGGGGCCGAGCCTGCGCGTTGAGTGTAGACTCTTAAGTAACTCGCCGGCTACTTTCACTTCCATCTGCCAATACTTCAAACGTTACGGTCCATGCGCCGTTGTCACGTTAACGGCGCCACCGTTGCTCCTCAACGGGGGAACTATCGGAGATTGATCCTCAAATCAGATACTTCGTTGAATCTCCGCACTACAAGTGTTTGCGGAATTTAAAGAGCGTTGGGAAAATTAGGGGCGATCACTTTTCTACTCATGCGTTCAAGTCTCCAGGCCTCGCGGCAGACACTGGAAAAAAAAACACATTGGATCTAGAGTCCAGACTCTTAAAAACATCGACTAGAAAAAGTACTCTTGATTCAATCAGAATCTAGCTTAAATCAAGAACCGAGCCTCTTAATTTAAGCGGATTTCGTTTTGATTCAAGCAAAAATCCGATTGAATCAAGAGTATTTTTTCGTGTCGGTGTTTTTAAGAATCTGGACTCTAGATCCAATGTGTTTTTTTTTCCAGTGCGTTAGGAAAATTAGTGGCGACTACTTTTCTACTCATGCGTTCAAGTCTCCATGCCTCGCGGCAGATGATACAGTTTTTGACTCACAAAATTGGGCAACTCTTGGGAGCTCTTGATTTTTAAAGTGGAGGCGTCAGCAGGGAGGGAGGGAGGGGGAGGGTTACACCTCTCCCTTCCTCTTCCCCTGCATCATTTAATTTAATGTTGTTTGAATGATCAAATATTTTAGTTTAATGTTCGGGACATGTTCAATATTCACCATATTTTGTAATCAATTTCAGGGAATTTTGGGAGGTTTTTTTTTTTATATTTGTTTAAAGTTTGTTCCCCTCTGAGCAAATATACACCGAAAAAAAGGGAAGTTGATATAACGTTCTGGATGTTAAAAAAGTGTGCGAGAACTTACAAAATGCTGATTTAACCGCTACAGAAATTTCTTCAGCAGTGCCAAGATGTAAAACTAACTGCTGTAGCGGCTAATTCAGCATTTTGTGAGTTCTCGCGCACTAATTTTACATCCAGCATGTTGAACCAACATCACTTTTCTTTCGGTGTATTGCCCCTTCTGATGAGCAGATTTGATATTATGACACAGATTATGCCACTGGATTGCACTTCTCAATATGTTCTTAATCGAATTCGATTGTCAAAATGGTATTTACGTCCTATCGGTAACTGCATAATTTTGCGAAGAATGTTTATTCAAGCATTGTAAATCCTTGAAACAGCACGGAATCAATTTTAAATGTTACAGATGATTTATACCATAACTCAATTGAATAATTTTTAATAGAAAAAAGTAAAAAAAGTTTAAGAATTCCAATTGAAGAGAGGTAATTAACCATCCAAACAGAGTTTAACGAAGGGACCAAGTCACATCAAGGTAGCGCCAAGGAAAAGAGGTTCGAAATTTTACTCTATATTAGGGATCAAAAATAAATTAAATATAAATTAAAAATAAATTTTAAAAAAAATTAAAAATAAATTAAACGCCTTTTTTCACGCTCAAAGTATTTTCTCGACTTTGAATTCTTACCGGTGAAAAAGTGCGTATAGGGATTAGCTGAAAACTATTTATGCTTCATTTTTTCCATCATGAGATTTGATTGCTTTCAGCTTAAATCATTTCATTTGTCAAGGCGTTTAGAAAAATTTGAAAATGGAAAACTCGAAAAATGTAAAGTGCATCAATTACGGTGTTTGTAGTGGGGAATATTCCTTGAATTGAGACGAAAAATAGTGGATATTCTAAAAGAGTTAAGTCTATCAGTTAATTCCTATTTAAAAATGTTAGAAACGGAATTTCTGCAACGTTGCGAACCGAGATACGCAGTTTCCAATTTTGGCCGTCGATTTCTATAACTTCATCATGTCACCGCCATCCTCGAAAAGGAGCTGCAAACCGAAGTCCTCGGACTTGCCGTTCTCTCATCCTCAATATCAGAATAGTGAAGACTTTCGCAAGTTGGGTGCATTGTTTCCCTTCCATTTAAAAACATTATTAATAATCGATTCCACGCCTCCATAAATATCGATTATTGCACGTGGATGAGCCTCGAAGTTGCCAACTCGTGCAGGTCGCGACTGAGTTACAGGACTTTACAACGAGGACTTTAGAGGGAGAGTATGGACAATTAGGAATCTAATGCCGATTGGCTGAGCCATCTTTGGCTGAAAATTGAGCATAGGGTACTTGCTTGGGATCCAAAAATGGTGAAATTTCCGAGCAGATAAGGGTTTAAATGACAGTTTAGTATTATTAACTTGTAGCGTTGCGCTTTCCCGTCCATTTCACTTATTATTATTGTTTGTCTACATGGTGAGACGTGTTAAGTCAGTTCAGAGACCAATTCACACATATCAACGGTGTAAGTCGGCGATCACGTAACTCGGTTTGCGACGTCGCAGACTTCCTGTCATACTTCATTTTTTAAACGGAAAACTACTCAACGGCAATTCTTTAAAACTGCCGTGATTTTTCTTCTTTGTGTCTTCTTTCAATGATTGCCACTGGATTCAGTCCAAGTGAAAATTTAAAAAAAAAATTTTTCAAGAAAAGTTTGGCAATATTTGTATGCGTGCACGGTGCTCTTCCTCAAGAAGATGGAACACGGCTTACGCATCACAGGTCACGAGTTTGCGGCACATCACGCCCCTATAAACGCATTTGACGCAACACGCTGAGGGTGACGGCCGAATGTTCGAAATCGGGGTTCCCTCAAAATTCGACTATATTTTATCAGAAGGATTTACAGATCCAACTGATGCAGGGGCGGATCCAGCAATTTGGCAACACGGAATTTTCTCCATTTAAACTTGTGTCAAATGATCGATTCTTGTCGGAGTACCTGGCCCCTTCAAGAATCGATACATTTCCATAGGTTTAATGGAGAAGAACAATGTTGCCGATTTGCTGGAACGAGCGTTGTAAGAGAGCGACGAATACTGTGAATCTACCTACAATCAAGCTTGTTAATTTTGCAACCTTTTACTGCCGTGTTAAGAAAAAACGCCGGATGACCCTTCAGACATTGCCGAATTTCCTTTGATAAGATATGAATCATCAGGGTTTGGGAATATTTTTCCTCGAATACTTCACATACTTATATTTAAGAATCAGATCTAAATTATCTGAAAGTTTCGAAAAAATATTCCTACCACTTCTCAAAAATAAATATTTTATTGGAGGGAATTTGGTGACTCTCGAATGGTCATGCTGTGTTTTTCCTTAGCACGGCGGTATATCTCTCTAGATCTCCTAAAAAATAATGTAGAAATCCCTCACCAAGAGATCCAGAATCTAGAGATGGGGTTTTCTGAAAACGTAAGTAGCAGTTTTTCAAACCAATGAAAAATCTATTTCATAAATATGACTTTTTCCTGTCTATAAAGGTTACATCTAAAATGAACATGGTTTCTTTCAGAAATAATCATTCGCGAAAAACCATCATTCTTGTAAGCTGCCGATCTTCGATGCAGTATTTCACGAGTTTTTGAGATGTTTTGTTGATTGTGCGACGAGCGGGTTGAATTTTGGGTTGGTTTTGGGTCAAGAAAATGTTTAAAGTAAATGTAATTCTTTAAATTTGGACAGATTTTTGAGATGACGCAACTAAATGACCCAAAAATGTTTAAACAGATACAAATCCCACCATATAAAAAATTACCCACCGCGTTCTTCAAATACTTTTGTGATATTTTTTCTAGTGTCGCGCAAAGAGGGCGGTATTTTCTTAAGTGAATGCTCAATTTTAAGCACAAATCACAGTCTCTATTATCCACGATGGTCGAGATCGAAGGCACTGCAACTAATCAATCCTAAATGATAAATCTCGAAAACGAAATCACAAAGACTTGATTCGCAAAAAAAAAAAAAAAAAAAAAAAAAAAAAAAAAAAAAAAAAAAAAAAAAAAAAAAAAAAAAAAAAAAAAAAAAAAAAAAATGTAAACAAAGAAAATAAGGAACTTATGACATTCAATATCGTCATACTTAAAAAAAATTGAATAAGTTTAATTTTGAAACCTGGTCGAGGGTAAGATGTCATCTCCTAAGAAATTTATAGACTCGATAGCAGATTATTTTCCCATGTTTTTCTCATTTTTAGCCAAAAAAACATATTAGGAAAACCCATCTGATCCCTTTAGATAAGCATAATAGATAATCAAGTCTCTCCTCATACTCTACCTCAGCAGCATTTACTGTTTAAAAAGAAAGAAAAAAAATAGTTGAAAAAATTAAAAAGATCGAAACATTTGATAAAATTCTTGGAAAAATGTGTAAATTCCAATTGGGTATCTCTATAAAACAAACTTGTTGCATATGGGTACAAGGATGGGTACTCCACCAAGTACTAAACCTTAATTTAGGAAAGAGATGTAGTTAGCAATTCCACGAGACTCACCTTGTATTCTATAACAGCGGCTCGAAGTAATCCTTGAAATATTTTTGCACTTCTAGACTCTGTCTCAAAAGTCACGACGAACTCTTCACAACAGAGGTGGGAAGGTAATTCTCGAAAAATTAAACGAGATAATCCGTCATGAGAAAAAGAAAAAAATCCTGAGCGAAAAGACACTGTACTTTCAACTAAGCGTTTTTTTCAGATCGCTGCTGTGGTTTACTTTTAACTGGGAACGGACCCCCTTGCGCCCGGGTTTATATAGATTGTCGGCAAATGCAAGACGGCCCCTCTCTCTCAACCTGCGACAAGGTAGCGCTCTCTGCCTCTTTCACCGGCGCGGCGCGGCGCGGTGCACTCCTGGTGTTACTCGGCCGAGCNNCTCATGGTCCTTACGCTAGTGGTATCTTGGTGGTCTAATTTACCTCGTTCAAATGGGCTAAAAATATGGCCGGCTATGAAAAAGGGCCCTCAACTTTCAGGAGAAAACGTTCTAAGAGAGTCTTTACACTCGAAAAAGGTATGACTCTGAGACCCATAAAAATGGCTCGGAGATCCATAATTTCTAACCAAAGTGACTTACCGTCTTCAGTATGGCTTTCTGAATCATACTTTATTGGTCGTGAGCCTATAAGCATGGCTCCACAAACTATATTTTATGCTCCATGATCCATAACTCGGCCGGTAAGTCACTCTTCCTATACTTGCTTTTTGAGTGTAGGGGAAAAATTCGAAATTGGCAATTTAGAGCTCTCAACGGGAAACGTTCTCTAGAAGGGGACAAGCTACGCGCGGTTTTAGTTCAATTTTCTCACTACATAGGGTGATGGCTGCTCCTTTTTCGTAATCCCACGGTAAAAAAAAGGTATGGACCGGGGGCCTATAAAAAATGGCTCGGGATCCATACTTTCTAAGAAGTGTGACTCACCTGAAGTTATGGCTCCACAACCCATACCAGTATGGGTCCGATGATCCATGCATATTCGGCTCCTGGACCCATAAAGTATGAGTCCACGAACCATACGGTATGGGCTGTGGAGCCATACTTTATGATTCCAGGAGCAATATACATGGATCGGCGACCCATA